CACCCTTTCATTCTAAAACTCGATCATATATGCACCGCCGAGAGGTGAAAAAGTTTGCTATTTATTAGTGGAAATTCCGTAGACTAATGGGAATTGAATTTTTAGCGAAAAGCGATACTTTAGCATTTTAAGCTCACTGTACATCAAATTTCGAAGTCATGTTGAAAATAAGGAAACTTGGGTTTATTTTCTCCTTCAAAAACCATCATCTATATTTTCTTTTTTATTTAAGCAGCTTTGGATTTTTGCTTTGCTTTTTAGATTCGGACGATGATGAGGCGAACGTAAAAGACGGAGGTCTTGATGCTTTATTCCTTGTTAGGAATAAACCGGAAGAGGTGTGTCATTTGCGTGGAACCATCTGAGATGGTTTTTGAATTATTTTTTATTAGATAAGTCACTGATATAATGGCTTAGATTGAAAAATATGTAATTCATCTTCGGAAGATGCTGCTGGAAGGCGAAGGTGAAACTGTCGTTGAAATCGGTGTTCCCATAGAACAGGGTGGAAAAGGTTACATCCATTTTGTTTTGTTTTATTGATCCTTCTTCATCCCTGTGCCTGCCTCTTATTATATTTTTTTTGTTATAGCCTCTGGCATCCCAACAAAGGATTTGGAAACCGCGGTTGCCAATCATGTGAAAGCTCTAGCAAGTATTCCTGCCATTGGTAGGTGTTTGGATACTTGCTTTTCTTTGTCTGAAATTCTACCATGTGGTCGCAGGTTTGTACTTTCTTCCCAGTAAAATCATTCTACGATTGTCTAGGTACTAAGATAGAGACTAGGACAAATGGTGATAAATCCACCGAGGTTTGGATAGTACGAGACCCTCCATTAAGTGACGATTTCATTGAGGTATAAAGAGCTTGCTGTCATGCTTTCTGCAAATGGATGTTTATTGCTCAAGAAGACGTTTTTAGGTTCGAGTTGCGGTTGTAGGAAATGTGGATGCGGGAAAATCTACTTTGCTCGGAGTATTAACCCATAGTGTCCTTGACGATGGAAGGGGGTTGGCGAGGACAAAATTGTTCAGGTATTTCTTACAGTTCTTTGTGTTTAAGGGCTAGGCGAACTTTCTTTTCCACCTACTAGTGTAGTGTCTTCTTAGACATAAACACGAATTTGAATCTGGTCGAACATCATCTGTTGGTAACGATATTCTTGGCTTTGATGTTCATGGCAATGTCGTTAACAAGCCGGATAAACATAATAACAACCTTGACTGGGTGCAGATCAGCCGAGACTGCAGTAAGGTGTGAAGTTTTATTTGGTTATTTTCCCCCCAATCCCATGGTTTGTAGTGGTTATAGTATTTCAGTTAATAACCTTCATCGATCTAGCTGGGCACGAGAAATACCTTAAAACTACGATTTTCGGAATGACGGG